GTGTTGTACCCAGGTGATCATTCAATCCAAACTCTCTTTTCTGAGCTCGATCCTAGATCCTCACACCCTCCCTCATCATTCGCTGGGCTGAGCAGGCGCGTCTTCGTTTTGGCCGCCCTGTCGCGCGCCTCCACTCTGATGGTGGTGGCAAGTTCTTTAACCAATCTCTCTCTTCTTACTGCTCCTCTCATGGCATTCGCCAAACCTCCACCCTTCCGCATTCTCCTGAACAGAATGGTGTTGCCGAGCGTCGTATTCGCGATCACCCGCTGTCTCCTTACGCATGCCTCTGCTCCCCAATCTCTTTGGAGCTACGCTCTTGTTCACGCCACTCTTCTTTCTAACCTTCTCCCTCATCCTCTTTGCTCTTCCATTACACCCTTTCAGCTCTGGACTGGCCGCCAGCCTTCTGCCCGCCCTCTTCGGGTGTGGGGCTGTGTCGCTCATGTCCTCATCAATCCTGCTGATCAGGCGCGTCAGGGTGGGAAGCTTGCTCCTAAGACGCAGCTTTGAGCATTTATTGGTATCAACTCTGACTGTCATGGCTACCTTTTCTATGCTCCCTCCTCTCAGCAAATAATTCACAGCCAGGATGCCATCTATGAGACTCGATCTCCATTCCTCACTCCCCCTCCCACCCCACCTGCTCCCTCTCTACACTGGTCTGACATTCATCCGCTACCCTCTGCTGCTCCCTGTCCTCCTCCATTTCCTCCTGCCCCTGCTCCACCTCCCCTGCCTGCCTCCTCCACTCCCCCCTCCGATGTCATCTCTGGCATCTCTCCTCCTGCCTCTTCATCTTCTGCTCCCATGGCCCCTCCCTCCTCACCTCCTTCTGCTACCCTCCCTTCTGCTCCTGCCCCCCCACCCTCTCCACATCTCACTCGCTCCATGACCCGTGCAATGTCCAATTTTCAACACTCTACTCTCTTTACTCGTCTCTCTCCCTCTCTGAACGTTGATCTTCTCGAAGATCGCTTTGAGGAGATTTTCTCTGTTCATCCTGTTTCACCCCTTCTCTGTGTCACCATTGGCGACTTCTCCAATTCTCCCACTCTTCTCTCCGTTGAACTGCTGCTATTCCCACCCCTCATACCTATTCCGATGCAGTGTCTGGCTTTCATGCTACTGAGTGGATGACTGCCATCATTGCCGAGTGTGAGGCATTGACCAGGACTCTGTCCCCCCCCCCTTGGTGCCACCATTGTGAAGGGCAAATGGGTCTTTCATGTCAAACAGCTGCCTGGGGAGCTCCCTGTCTTCAAAGCCCGTTACTGCGCCAAAGGCTTCACCCAACGTGAAGGCAATGACTACTTTGCCACTTACTCCCCCACTGCCCGTCTCCCCACTCTTCGCCTCCTTCTTGATCTAGGCGCCCGTTGGGATTGGGAGATTTACTCTATGGATGTCTCCAATGCATTTCTCCAAGGCGAGCTTCATGAACACATTTTTCTTGAGCGCCCTGCTGGTTTTCCTCACCCCTTCCCTCCAGGCACTGTCTGGGAGTTGAAGCGCCCATTGTATGGTCTTAAGCAGGCCCCACATGAGTGGCAGGCTAAGCTAGCTTCCACTCTTCACTCTCTTGGCTTCTCCACCTCCTCTTCCGACCCCAGTCTCTTCATTCAAACTCCCCCCCCACAGGCTTTACATTCTTGCCTACGTCGATGACTTGGTGCTCCTCGCTGAAGATTATGCCGACCTTGCCGCTGTCAAACAGGCCCTCCATGCACGTCTCCTGTGCAAGGATCTTGGCAAGCTTCGCCACTACCTCGGCATGGAGATTCGTCGCGATCGTACTACGTGCACTATCTCTCTCTTTCAATCTCTCGACATCCACTCCATCCTTGAGCGCTTTGAAATGTTGCAGGCCAAGCCAGTTTCCACTCCTCTTCCCGCTAACCATCAGCATATTGCCCCTGCTGATCCCGCTCCCTCCTCAGAACTGCGCCCCTGTCCTGAACTCGTTGGGTCACTCATGTATGCTATGATGTGCACTCGCCCCGATCTTGCTTACCCCCTCAGTGTCCTCTCTCACTTTGTTGGCCTTGGTCGCCACACTGACATGCACTAAGCGGCTGCCAAGCGCCTTCTCCGCTATCTCCGCGCTACCTCTGATCTTGCACTCACTCTTGTTGGCTCTTCTCCCCCTGTTCTTTCCGATTACAGTGATTCCTCTTGCGCTGATTCTCGCCCTGATCGCCGCTCCTCTTAGGGTTATGGTTTGACTCTTGGCAGTGGTCTCATCAGCTTGCGCTCCACTCGCTCATCCTCTGTCTGCCTTTCCACCTGCAAAGCTGAGTTGTACGTAGGCACATTGGTAGCTCAGGAGGCTCGCTGGCTCTCCTTTCTCCTTGCTGAGCTTGGTCACTCTCAGCCCTCTGTGACGCTCTCCTGTGACAGTGCAAGCATGATTCATCTCACTGAAAATCCTGTCCATCACACCTGCAGCAAACACATAGAGGCCCGCTACTTCTTCACGCGCGAGCTGGTGCAGTCTGGCTTCTTACGTCTTCGCAAGGTGGCCGCTAATGCCAACCTTGCTGACATTTTCACCAAGGCCCTCCTTCGTGCACCACACCGTTTCTACGTGCGCTAGCTTCGGCTCACGCTTCTCGCCACTTCTGGGGGTGTTCCGGTTCGCTAGGTGTTTTGTTCTAGAGCTTCACATAACCTGGGGGTGTGTTGGAGTAGGCTAGAGCTCGCTCTGGCCTTTATTTTGGTGTTCTCTTATCATTCCACCATGCTTAGAGCGAGTAACGCTTCCAAGTTCAATTTAGGTTCATTTCGTAGCGTACACTGAACACACCTCAAGTTCAATTAAGGTTTCCGATTCCTTTATAGACTTGTATCTCGACACTTCTTTCCTCTCTAAAATTTTCTTCTCTTGCTATTTCTCTCATGAAAGCCATGGCTTCCTCTAGCTTAACTTTAACACACCAAACCTAACGCAGCCACTTGTGCAGATGCAGTGGTCAGGTTGTACAGACTGGACCAAGGCTGTTAAGTTAACGTGGTGAGGTGCTCACTAGTGCAGGAGTCTGTAGAGATCGCCACTCGCTCACCCCCAGGAGTAGTCACAGTTACAAACAAGTCCTGGAGGACAGAATTACTCACCAAGTTCGTGGTGAACGAGAAGAGGTGGAGACCTGCAAGCGAGCCGGAAGGGGCTGCCGGACACGGGAGAACGGTGGAGGCACGGGCTACGACTGGGCCCCAAGAGGGGTCAGCCAGACTGATCGGGACAGGTGTAGTGAGCGGTGTGACTATGGTGCAGTAGCGAGTCGCGCCTGAGTCAAGCGTGAAGGTGTGTAAAGCCTCCACAGAAGGTGCACATGTGCTACCAGGCTCGCAAGCACCTAGACTAGCAGCCTCTGCACTACCAGGGACGCGCCGCTGAAAAAACCACTCTTGAAGCTGCTGCACTGAGAGGGTCTCCTCTTGACTCTGCTTCCGCTGCTGTCTAGCACCTTGTACCTCCAGTACCACTACCCCAACCAGAGCGGCCTGGCTGGATAACCCACTCATGAAGTTGTTGCGGCGAGAGCGTCTCGAGACATATGAAATCCCAAGCTCCAGCACCAGAGCTGCTGCGTCGATAGAGTCTCTAGCTGACACTGCTGCTGGTGTCCACCCCCAGACACTACTACGACCATGATAGTGGCCATGGCAGGCAGTGGCAGTCAGTAGCAGCGGCACAAGGGCGGCAGTGGCGTCTGCTGTAGTTGTGGCGATAGTCGATGTAGTGGCAGGTCAGCTGGGCGGCTCGGCGCGGTTCGGGCAGGGCTGCGCGACTCGGGCAGGGGCGGGGCACAGCAGCGAGCAGGGCGTGTAGTGCACTGGTAGGGCAGCAGCCAGGGCAGCGCGCGGGCAGGGCGCGCAGTGCGCGTGGGCGGCACCAGCAGCGGGCAGGCAGCGCGCGGGCTGCAAGGCAGGGTAGTGCACGCGCTGCTGGGCGTGCGGGCAGTAGGGCGACGCGGGCAGCAGGGCGCGCGGGCTGCAGGGCGACGCAGGCAGCAGGGCGCGTGGGCTGCAAGGCGACGCGGGCAGCAAGGCGCGCGGGCTGCAGGGCTATGCGGGCAGCAGGGCAACGCAGGAAGTAGGGCGTCACGGGCTGCAGGGTGTCACAGGCAGCATTGCGACGCGGGCTACAGGGCGCGTGGGCTGCAGGGCGACGCGAGCAGAAGAGTGATGCGGGCAGCAGGGCGTGCTGGCTGCACGGCGACGCGGGCAGCACGGCGACGCGGGCTGCAGGGCGACGCGGGGTGCAGGGCAGGGCAGTGCGCGGGCTGCAGGGCAGGGCAGCGCGCGGGCTGCAGGGCAGGGCAGCGCGCGTGCTGCAGGGCTGCGCGGGCAGGGCAGCGCGCGGGCTGGGCAGCGCGCGAGCTGCTGGGCACGCGGGCTGCAGTGTCAGAGGTCCACTGGTAATTGTTGTAAAGGACTCTCCTCTACTTTGCAGGAACTGGGAAATGTTCTAACGATAGAGCACTCCGCTGGCTTTCCAACGAGATGTCAAACACGCGATTCGCCTAAGTAACGAGAGAGTTATAGGCGTTTATGTGCTTGCTAGTGCTCTTAGAACAAAGGATAGGAGCTCTCTGGATTTTGTAGTCGAGTGTATCACATACAAAGTGATTCAGGTTTTCATTATGATACATGCAATACAAAGCAAACAGATTTATAGCATGCAATCAACATCGAGTCGCACAAGTAACCTTGAACCGCGGTACACTCGCGAATGTTCGAGTAACCTTTCGAAGGGGTGAAATTCGGCACCCGAATTTCACCGAACCAAATTCTTCCTCAGTCTCGACTCTTCTTGTGTAGCCATGTGGCACCAATTGAGTGGGTCTTCCGAAGTCAACCCACACACTTCGAAACCTGCAGCTCACTCAAACGGTGAGCACCGAAACACATTCGGTGGGTTGGGGGCATACAACCACCCCACCACCACTTGCTTCAACCACACTCAACCTCCAACACTCCCCCTTGCACCCAACCCACTAGGTGTGTAATCCATCATGCTTGTAGCACGCACGGGATGGGTCTTTAGGGGGTGGTTCCATGAGAGATTCCGCGTGTTCATCATCACCCTTGGTCGCGAAGCAAAATGCCGTGCCCTCCTTATCCGTCTCCCCAACAGCTACCATAGCATAGTCGGCGTATTTGGAGGGAGGACGAACCTCACGACGCTCGCGGGTCAAGGCCAATGGTAGGGAGGAAGGTGTGGAGGTAGTTGCCGCCTCGGTTGGTGGCACCTCCACGACATCATCAACACTTTCCTCGTCGTTCTCTCCCCCTTCATCGGCTTCCTTCTCCACTTGAGGTAGAACCTCATTTTCTTCAAACTCCTCTCGTGCCAGAAGGATGAAGGTGGCTTGTTGAGTTGGTTTCTCCTTCGTCGGGAACTTGTCTTCGTCGAAGACCACATCCCGAGACGTGACAACGCGTTTGTCGCCCAAGTCCCACACTCGCCACGCACGCTCGTTTGGCGCAACTCCCAAGAAGATCGCCGCACGAGCTTTCGGTTGCAACTTGTGGCGAAGAGGATCCGGTACATGGTAGTAGCAAAGGCACCCAAAGGTGCGTAGGCGTGATAGGTTCGGCTTCGTTCTGCTCCATGCTTCGAACGGAGTCGTTCCCGGGAGCACCTTCGTCGGCAAACGGTTGCGAATCCACGCCGCTAGCGAACTCGCCTCACCCCACCACTCGCTCCCAAACTTGGAGTGTTGAAGAAGTGAACGAACGGCTTCCACCAATGTGCGATTAAGCCGCTCCGCCGCTCCATTTTGTTGGGGTGTGTAAGGTGTTGTGACATTGTGCTTGATGCCCTTGCTCTTCATCCATTTCGCAAGCTCGTTGTTCACGAATTTGCCACCACCATCGGTACGAATACACTTGATCCGCTTCTTGTCGTCGTCGCAAACATCGAGCGCCCACTCTTGAATCGCCTTGGCCGCATCTCACTTAGCCTTCAAGAGTCGGATCCAACACATCCGCGTCGCGTCGTCGAGCATCACCAAGAGGAACCGCGCTCCTCCCTTTAGCATCGGTCCACACACGTCCATGTGAACAAGTGCAAGCGGGTCCTTAGCGAGGGGTGACGTCCGGCTACTCAATGGCTTGCGAGCCATTTTTCCTTCGACACACGCCGCGCACACGCCCTTCTTGTCGTCGCCGGCGATCACGTTGACTCCCTTCGCAAGTCCTTTGTTGGCCAACTCCTTGACCAGTTCGTAGTTGGCATGCGCAAGCCAATTATGCCACGCCTTAAGAGTCGCCTTGGAGCCTTGCGCCACGTTGGATGAAGCCGCTCTCGGGTACGTCTTGAGTTGGTAGATATCTCCGTTGAGAACACCTTGCGCGAACTGCTCCCCCTTCCAAAAGAGGTTCATCTTCGCGCCGTCGATGGTGGCGATCACGCCCTTCTTCGCAAGTTGCGGGACGGATAGAAGGTTCACCTTCACCCCCGGGACGTGAAGCACGCTCGTGACGTCCACCGGTCCGCTATCGACGATGAGGCGCGTACTCCCAACTCCAATCACCGGTAGCAATTCGTTGTTTCCGAACACGATGCTCGTGACATCTCCCGGATCGCCAATGTTGTTGAGGAGCGACGCCGAGTGCGTCATGTGTTGCGTTGCGCCGGTATCGAGGAACCACGCGTCGCTTGGAGTTTTGTTCCCGTTGCCGGCCACTAACACGAGCGACTCCTTTGAATCATCGGCCTCGCCGGATGCCGTGTGCGCGTTGCCCTCTTGGTCGCGCACCATCGATGGAGTCCAATCGCTCGAGCACTTCCGACACTCACGCCAAAAGTGTCCTGGTTTGCGGCAATAGTAACACTTGCCGTGATGCTCGCTCCCACCGGACGATTCATTCGTCGCACCCTTGCTCCACTTGGACTTCTTTCCGGAACTCCCTCCGGAGTACATGGCGGTCCCCGCGCTCTCATTAATGAATTGTCGGCGACGCGATTCCTCATGGAGAAGCCGACCGACCACCATTTCTTTCGTCCAAGTGTCTTGCACGCTATCGAGTGTCGTAATCACCGTCGACTACTCTTCCGGAAGGCCGCAAAGCAAGGTCAAAATCCAATCCTCCTCCATGACCGTTCCACCGAGGTCCATGAACGTTTCCCCGAGTTCCTCCACACGAGTCGCATACTCGTGCATCGATTCGCCCGCGCGCAACTTCACCGTGTAGAACGCATTCCAGGCTAGGATCTTGCCGTGGAGAGTCTTGTTCACGTGCATTGTCTCAAGCCGCTTCCATGCTTCATGCGCCGACGCTTCGAGCTTGATGCACGTGCGCACCGCGCTTACGAGGTTGATGCCGATGCGCGAAATCAACGTTGCGAACGCCTTTTGGTCCTTCTTCTTCCATGCCGCAATGCCGCTCTCGTCGTCCGGCTTCTTCTCCGTTCCATCGAAGAGACCCCAAAGTCCCCGCTCCATCATGAGCACTTGGAACTTAAACTTCCACGTGGAGTAGTTTTGTCCCGTGAAAATCGGTACCGACGACGTTTCGAATATCGTTGCGGTTGCCCAGAGTTTGCTGGAATTTACAACGACACCATCCAAGGAAGTGCGGGAGGCCTCGCTTGAAGTCGGCATGCTTGCTCCTTGTCGCGCGCGAAGACTCCTCCGACCAGCTCTGATACCACTGATGTAAAGGACTCTCCTCTACTTTGCAGGAACTGAAAAATGTTCTAAAGGATAGAGCACACTGCTGGCTTTCCAACGAACCATCAAACACGCGATTCGCCTAAGTAACAAGAGAGTTATAGGCGTTTATGTGCTTGCTAGTGCTCTTAGAACAAAGGATAGGAGCTCTCTGGATTTTGTAGTCGAGTGTATCATATACAAAGTAATTCAGGTTTTTAGTATGATACATGCAATACAAAGCAAACAGATTTATAGCATGCAATCAACATCGAGTCGCACAAGTAACCTCGAACCGCGGTACACTCGCGAATGTTCGAGTAACATTTCGAAAGGGGTGAAATTCGGGTGCCGAATTTCACCGAACCGAATTCTTCCTCAGTCTCGATTCTTCTTGTGTAGCCATGTGGCACCAATTGAGTGGGTCTTCCGAAGTCAACCCACACACTTCGAAACCTGCAGCTCACTCAAACGGTGAGCACCGAAACACATTCGGTAGGTTGGGGGCATACAACCACCCCACCATCACTTGCTTCAACCACACTCAACCTCCAACAGTGATCCCCGATTGATCCTACAAAAGGGTTACAGGCACGTTGGCTTGGTGGGTTATGGGCGCAGTTACCTGCTACACAAACAAGCCCTTTTATCCCACTGGTTAGTGGCTGGGATTCTGACATGGTATCAAAGCGTAGGTCTCTTGTTCGAATCCCAGTGTGTGCACTTCGGGCATCCCAGTGCGGGGGGGTGTCAGAGGTCCACTGGTGATCCCCGATTGATCCTACGAAAGGGTTACAGGCACGTTGGCCTTGGCGGTTATGGGCTCACTTACCCGCTACACAAACAAGCCCTTTTATCCCAGTGGTCTAGTGGCTGGGATTCTGACATGCAGGGCAACGTGGGCAGCAGGGTGACGCGGGCTACAGGGCAGGGCAGCGCGCGGGCTGTAGGGTAGGGCAGCGTGCGGGCTGCAGAGCTGCGCGGGCAGGGCAGCGCGCAGGCTGCATGGCTGCGCGGGCTGTAGGGCTGCGAGGGCAGGGTAGCGCGCGGGCTGTAGGGCGTGGCGGCGCGCGGGCTGCATGGCTGGCAGGCCTCTCGATATCAGGGTGATTCACCCTTATGACCCTTACTATAAGGGCGGGTTTGACTATGCACCCTTTTTTACAAGACTGGTTTTGTTTTAGACCCTTACAAAAAAAAAAAGTGATCGATTATACGACACTGATATTTCAGAGCTATGTGGTGTAGTAGCACTGATGAAATCGAGTTCGATCTAAGAGAGGATACCAGGATTGGTTGCGCAAAACGTATTAGTTGCACAAGATGCCCGCGCTGGATTTTGATCTCGGGGCTTTCACATAATTGTGACTACTTAGGCACTGCCACATCAAGATCCTACATGCTATTGACGTAAAAATATTACATAAATGATTAAATTTGTTTGCACCCTGATTTTTAAGAGCAGTTTTTGTGAAGGACCCTTACTGAAAAAGTCAAGGCTGGGTGTTGGCCTTACGAGAAAGAGTAGCCCAAATCCTATCCAGAGGCCTGATGGCAGGGTAGTGCATGGGCAGCAGGGCGACGTGCGGGCAGGGCAGGGCAAAAAACGTGCAGTTCCTACGGTTGGTGGGCCCTAACGGAGCGGTCCTACGGACGAACCAGCTCTGAAACCATGTCAGAATCACTAGGCAGGTTTGAATGTACTAGGCAGTTGGATACAAGTAGGAAACCCTGATTGGGTTATCCCCTTTAGAGTGAACCTCAATGTAGCCTACAAGATAAGAAACATATAGTTTGACAAGAGCGTATTCCTACACCTCGTATCAGACACACCTCTTATCAGCTTCGTGTGGTGAAATACGTTTCAGTGTGTTCGACTGCAGTTGGATGCGTGTTAGTGCGGTTTGACGCGAATCTGATGCGTGGTTGCCTGATATGAGGCCATAGAGACACACTCTAAGTGGCTTAGGAAGGTACCGGTAACGAGAATGGTTTGTTGACTAGGGAAAGGAGGGAGGGGGGGAGGGGGGAGGGGAAGAAAAGTGTTGAGAATATTATGTACCCCGTGAAAAGTACCTCACTACAGCCTATCCAAATTATAAACATAGTTTGAGAGTGTCTCAATGTACAATTATACATTTGTAGGCATATTTTGTTGTTCTATGTTGGGTTGTAATGGAGAAGGTACGGGTTGAAACTTGTACCCCCCTATATGCCCCCTTCTTATGCAGTATTTTATCGCTGAAACGTACTACCCTGCTAACGCTGGGTAAGCCAGAGAATTAGATCTGATACCAAGTGTCAAGCTGTAAAATAGAGTGCGCGGAATTAACGAATAGCGAAGCTATGATCAACTGAATTGACGATACAATGAACGTGGCAATATCATACAATGGTCAATTCTAGCTAAGCAGGAAATCCGAGGATCAAGGTTGGGTACAGGACTGGGCAATGGGAAACCGAAGGCGACGAGAGGGAGCCTCTCGAGAAAGTCGGTAGAGTCTGTCCTTCCGAAAGTTGGGGTTGTATGTGATGGACTACAAGCCTGATAAGGATTTTTTTTTTTTTTTTTTCACAACTGAGCGTTGTAACCACCACGTGGTAACACGCGACAATCACCAAAGCTCACGAGTTCCCCTCATCCACCACCGCACCCTTCAGATAGCTATCACAATGCACGCCAGGCCGCATCACGAATCACAATCGTCATTTGCAACCAGCTCCGTTTCTCCACCACGCCCCGACGCACACCGAGTAGAGCCTTCCGCATCGCGCGCTCGCCATGGCGGCCGACCCGCAGAGCCAGTCGCTGGTGGACGGCACGGCGGTGGCGGCGGCGCGGCTGCCGGCGTCGTTGGACATGCCGGAGTTCAACACCGTCGACTTCATCAACCACCTCTTCCCCAACGGTGCTGCCCTCCCCGCGCCTCATCTTCCCCAACGGTGCTGCTCCCCCCACCAACCTGAACCCCTCCCCTCGCTCTCCATCCCGCCGCGGCGAGCGCGGTTAGAACCAGCGAGCGCAGCAGCCACGCGCGTTCCGCGGCGGGGGTCGTGGTCACACCGTCGCCGTGCTGCGCGTCGCTGCCATGCCCCCCTTCCTCTCCCCCAACCCGCACCCCGCCCTCGCCGCCCTTCCCCCCTTCCCCCCGCAGAGTCGTCGTTAGCGGCGGTGGATCCGCTCATCCAGAAGCTGCGCAACCGCATCCGCCGAGTCGACGCCGAGATCCTCCTCGCCATCCGCCAGCAGGTGCGCCATCCGCCAGCAGGTGCGCCATCCGCCAGCAGGTGCAGCCCTGGGGCAGCTGATGAAACGTTCGGGCAGCTGATGAAACGTTTGGGCAGCTGATGAAACGTTTGGGCGACTGATCAGGTAGCTAATGAAAAGGGGCAGGTAATGAAACGGTTGGGCAGTTGAGGAAACGTTTGGGCAGTTGATGAAACGTTTGGGCAGTCTTTTTGGCAAGTAATTAAACGTTTGGGAAGCTGATGAAACGTTTTGGGCAGTCCTGGGGCAGCTGATGCACACAAAAGGTGACGCTTTTGGGACGACACGTCAAACAGGGTGGGCTGCAGCTGAAACATTCGGAGCTGCTGATGCAAGAATTCGGGGCAGGTGGGCGAATAATGGGACAGCAGATGAAGCATACAGGGCAGCAGATGAACCAGTGCGGCAGAATAGAAAGAGGTGACACATCGGGGCATCAGATTGATTAGAACAACTATCAGCGTTCGATGAAAGATGCATGCTTTCACTCACATGCTGTGCTTTCACTCACATGCCGTGCTTTCACTCACATGCTGTGCTTTCACTCACATGCTGTGCTTTCACTCACATGCTGTGCTTTCACTCACATGCTGTGCTTTCACTCACATGCTGTGCTTTCACTCACATGCTGTGCTTTCACTCACATGCTGTGCTTTCACTCACATGCTGTGCTTTCACTCACATGCTGTGCTTTCACTCACATGCTGTGCTTTCACTCACATGCTGTGCTTTCACTCACATGCTGTGCTTTCACTCACATGCTGTGCTTTCACTCACATGCTGTGCTTTCACTCACATGCTGTGCTTTCACTCACATGCTGTGCTTTCACTCACATGCTGTGCTTTCACTCACATGCTGTGCTTTCACTCACATGCTGTGCTTTCACTCACATGCTGTGCTTTCACTCACATGCTGTGCTTTCACTCACATGCTGTGCTTTCACTCACATGCTGTGCTTTCACTCACATGCATAGCTGTGCTGTTGTGCATTACGTGGCATGGCATGTTATTGTATCACATGTTGTCGCATGTCATCATGTGAATGGCATGGCATGTGATGTGCGGTGCATAATGCATGTCATGGCATACGATTTTTTGTGCATGGCATGGCATGGCATGGCAGAGCACGTCAGGGTCGCAAGCCAAGGACGACCTGGCAGCCTCCATGCGGGCCATTGAGGTGCACCCTTGGGTGCATGCATGCATGCCATCCAATGGGGTGGGGTGGGATGGGATGGGACGGGATGGGATGGGATGGGATGGGATGGGATGGGATGGGATGGGCTGGGCTGGGGTGGGATGGGATGGGGTGGGATGGGATGGGATGGGATGGGATGGGATGGGATGGGATGGGATGGGATGGGATGGGATGGGATGGGATGGGATGGGGTGGGCTGGGGTGGGATGGGATGGGATGGGATGGGATGGGATGGGATGGGATGGGGTGGGGTGGGGTGGGGTGGGGTGGGGTGGGGTGGGGTGGGGTGGGATGGGATGGGATGGGATGGGATGGGATGGGATGGGATGGGATGGGATGGGATGGGATGGGATGGGATGGGATGGGATGGGAGGGGGTGGGATGGGGTGGGGTGGGGTGGGATGGGATGGGAGGGGGTGGGATGGGGTGGGGTGGGGTGGGATGGGAGGGGAGAAAGCATGTGTCCTCCCATGTTGCTTCCATAATCAACTCACCCCCCGACCCCACACCGCTCTGCCTGGTGTGTGCTGCCCATCGCCCACCTCTCTGCCCATCGCCCACCTCTCTGCCCATCGCCCACTTTCTCTGCCCATCGCCCACCTCTCTGCCTATTCCCCTCCGCCTTCCCCAGCTCGTGTGCTTCTTGTTGAGATGGCGCCCGCCATGCGCCATGCCTCTCGCCCTTCTCCCCCCTGCCCCTCCCCTCCCCCTGCCCCTCCCCCTCCCCCCCCCCCCCACCCCAGGAGCTGTGGGTGAAGATGAGGGCGATAAAGGCGAAGGCGGAGCAGAGCGAGGTGATGGTGCAGGAGATATGCCGCGACATCAAGAAGCTCGACTGCGCCAAGAAGCACATCACCGCCACCATCACCGCCCTCAACCGCCTCGCCATGCTCGGTGCGCTCCACACCATCCTCGGTGCGCCCCACACCATGCTCGGTGCGCCTCACACCATGCTCGGTGCGCCTCACACCATGCTCGGTGCGCCCCACACCATGCCATGCTCGGTGCGCCCCACACCATGCCATGCTCGGTGCGCCCCACACCATGCTCGGTGCGCCCCACACCATGCCATGCTCGGTGCGCCCCACACCATGCCATGCTCGGTGCGCCCCACACCATGCTCGGTGCGCCCCACACCATGCTCGGTGCGCCCCACACCATGCCATGCTCGGTGCGTCCCACACCATGCTCGGTGCGCCCCACACCATGCTCGGTGCGCCCCACACCATGCCATGCTCGGTGCGCCCCATACCATGCTCGGTGCGCCCCACACCATGCTCGGTGCGCCCCACACCATGCTCGGTGCGCCCACACCATGCCATGCTCGGTGCGCCCCACACCATGCTCGGTGCGCCCCACACCATGCTCGGTGCGCCCCACACCATGCTCGGTGCGCCCCACACCATGCTCGGTGCGCCCCACACCATGCTCGGTGCGCCCCACACCATGCCATGCTCGGTGCGCCCCACACCATGCCATGCTCGGTGCGCCCCACACCATGCTCGGTGCGCCCCACACCATGCCACCATGCCCTTGCCATGCCACCATGCCCTTGCCATGCCACCATGCCCTTGCCATGCCACCATGCCCTTGCCATGCCACCATGCCCTTGCCATGCCACCATGCCCACTCCCGCTGGCATGCTGGCAGGGGTACAGTTGGCGACTGCGTTTGAGATTGACTGCGTTTGAGATTGACTGCGTTTGAGATTGACTGCGTTTGAGATTGAGCCAAATGGGCGGCTCTTGAGGATTCTAAAAACTCAAATGTCTCTTCATGGTGATAACCCTCCCCCACCTTCCCTCCCCCCCCCTCCTCCAGTGTTTGCGGTGGATCGCCTGCAGGCGCTGGCAGCCAACCGCCAGTACCGCGATGCCGCCGACCAGCTGCAGGTAGGGTGGCGTGGCATGCCGTGGGGCAAGGGTGTGTGGGGCAAGGGGGTGTGGGGCAAGGGGGTGTGGGGCAAGGGGGTGTGGGGCAAGGGTGTGTGGGGCAAGGGGGTGTGGGGCAAGGGGGTGTGGGGCAAGGGGGTGTGGGGCCATGTGGTAGGGTGCGCATGGTAGGGATGGAGGTGATGTCTGCCATGTGCCTGCCATGTGCCTGCCATGTGCCTGCCTTGTGCCTACCATGTGCCTGCCATGTGCCTGCCTTGTGCCTACCATGTGCCTGCCATGTGCCTGCCTTGTGCTTACCATGTGCCTGCCATGTGCCTGCCATGTGCCGAATCGCCAGATTGAATGCAGTGTATGTATGAAGGTCTGACTGACGCTGCCATGGAACGGCTGGAGCTGCTCGCCTCCCACCCCACCATGCCCTTGCCATGCCACCATGCCCTTGCCATGCCACCATGCCCTTGCCATGCCACCATGCCCTTGCCATGCCACCATGCCCTTGCCATGGCACCATGCCCTTGCCATGCCACCATGCCCTTGCCATGCCACCATGCCCTTGCCATGCCACCATGCCCTTGCCATGCCACCATGCCCTTGCCATGCCACCATGCCCTTGCCATGGCACCATGCCCTTGCCATGCCACCATGCCCTTGCCATGCCACCATGCCCTTGCCATGCCACCATGCCCTTGCCATGCCACCATGCCCTTGCCATCCCACCATGCCCTTGGCATGCCACCATGCCTTTGCCATCCCACCATGCCCTTGCCATCCCACCATGCCCTTGCCATGCCACCATGCCCTTGCCATGCCACCATGCCCTTGCTATGGCACCTCCCCCAACCAACACTGCGTGCCTCTCCTTCCTCCCCATCCACTCTGCTCCCCACGCCGCCCTCCCGCGTGCGCAGCACCCCTGTGTGTGATGTCACCACGCCCTTCTCCGTGCCCCCCTGCCCTTCTCCGTGCCCCCCCTGCCCTTCTCCGTGCCCCCCTGCCCTTCTCCGTGCCCCCCTGCCCTTCTCCGTGCCCCCCTGCCCTTCTCCGTGCCCCCCTGCCCTTCTCCGTGCCCCCCTGCCCTTCTCCGTGCCCCCCTGCCCTTCTCCGTGCCCCCCTGCCCTTCTCCGTGCCCCCCTGCCCTTCTCCGTGCCCCCCTGCCCTTCTCCGTGCCCCCCTGCCCTTCTCCGTGCCCCCCTGCCCTTCTCCGTGCCCCCCTGCCCTTCTCCGTGCCCCCCTGCCCTTCTCCGTGCCCCCCTGCCCTGCCCTGCCCTGCCCTGCCCTGCCCTGCCCTGCCTGCCTTCAGACACCGCACCCGCACCCACAACCACCCTCGCCCAGCATGCGATGCGCGCCTTCTCCCCTGCCCATCCCATTGTGTCGCTCACTTCGCTTCGCCTGCGCCACAACCATGCTGCACTTACCCACCTACCCTCCCACACCAAGCATGCCAACTGTATCGCTCCTCCATGCCCCAACCTCCCCAACCCCCCCTGCTTCACCCGCTCCAACCCCCCCCCAACGACGGCAGGCGGTGACGCAACTGTTGGCGCACTTTGAGGCGTACCGCGACATCCCCAAGATAGCGGAGCTGCAGGGGCGGGTGGCGGCGCTCAAGGCCACGCTCAAGTCGCACATCTTCTCCGACTTCTCCACGTGTGTGCCGCCCCCCCAACCTGCCCCGCCGCCCTGCACGCCTGCACCTTGCACCACTGCTCTTGCCCTTTTCATGCTCCATGTGTACCCTGTCATGCCATGTTATGCATTGCCGTCTACCCATCTGCCATGCCATGCTATGTGCACATTACAGCACGACTCCTACTCGCATGCGTGCCACACAATGTGCGTGGCTGGAGTGCCACACAATGTGCGTGGCTGGAGTGCCACACAATGTGCGTGGCTGGAGTGCCTCGTGTGGATGGACCAGCTGCGCTGCGCACTGCTCCTTGGCTGACTGTCCATCATGTGCATCTCCATTCTTCTCCCTGTCCCCCCCCTCCCCCCCCAGCCTGGGCACGCCAGTGATGAGGGAGAACGGGCAGGTGATGCAGCAGCTGGCGGACGCGTGTCTGGTGGTGGCGGCGCTGGACGGCGAGGGGCACGCACGGGACGAGCTCGTGCGCTCCGTGTGCAGCAAGGAGCTCACTGCGTACCAGCAGATCTTCCAGGGCACGGGTCAGTACCAGCAGATCTTCCAGGGCACAGGTCAGTGCCAGCAGATCTTCCAGGGCACGGGTCAGTGCTTTCCCCTTCCACTCTCACTTTGTCAGTCTTTAAATTGTTGGCTTTGTTTCTCTTCCACTCGCGTCTCTATTCCTGTGCCCCACCTCTGTCCCTTGTGTCAAACCCCTCTGTCCGCCCCACTGCCGTTCCTGGGTGAGTGCCTCTCTCCTCCCCCTGTCCCCCTCACCCTTTCCACCTCGTGCCCCTCTCGCTCTCCCCCTCCCCACCTGGCAGACGTGGCGCGGATGGACAAGGTGGAGAGGCGGTACGTGTGGGTGAAGAGGCAGATGAAGCTGAACGAGGACGTGTGGCGCATCTTCCCACCCGCCTGGCACGTGCAGCGCCTCCTCTGCTCGCACTTCTGCCGCATCACCCGGTGGGTGGGTGGGCATGGGGGAACCTCATCACTCGGTGGATGGGGTGTGTGGTCCCATGGGGGGCCGGTACAGGGGATGGATGAACGCCAGCACGAGGGCTCAGATGGCGCTGGCTGTGATGTGGGCTCAGATGGCGCTGGCTGTGATGTGGGCTCAGATGGCGCTGGCTGTGATGTGGGCTCAGATGGCGCTGGCTGTGATGTGGGCTCAGATGGCGCTGGCTGTGATGTGGGCTCAGATGGCGCTGGCTGTGATGTGGGCTCAGATGGCGCTGGCTGTGATGTGGGCTCAGATGGCGCTGGCTGTGATGTGGGCTCAGATGGCGCTGGCTGTGATGTGGGCTCAGATGGCGCTGGCTGTGATGTGGGCTCAGATGGCGCTGGCTGTGATGTGGGCTCAGATGGCGCTGGCTGTGATGTGGGCTCAGATGGCGCTGGCTGTGATGTGGGCTCAGATGGCGCTGGCTGTGATGTGGGCTCAGATGGCGCTGGCTGTGATGTGGGCTCAGATGGCGCTGGCTGTGATGTGGGCTCAGATGGCGCTGGCTGTGATGTGGGCTCAGATGGCGCTGGCTGTGATGTGGGCTCAGATGGCGCTGGCTGTGATGTGGGCTCAGATGGCGCTGGCTGTGATGTGGGCTCAGATGGCGCTGGCTGTGATGTGGGCTCAGATGGCGCTGGCTGTGATGTGGGCTCAGATGGCGCTGGCTGTGATGTGGGCTCAGATGGCGCTGGCTGTGATGTGGGCTCAGATGGCGCTGGCTGTGATGTGGGCTCAGATGGCGCTGGCTGTGATGTGGGCTCAGATGGCGCTGGCTGTGATGTGGGCTCAGATGGCGCTGGCTGTGATGTGGGCTCAGATGGCGCTGGCTGTGATGTGGGCTCAGATGGCGCTGGCTGTGATGTGGGCTCAGATGGCGCTGGCTGTGATGTGGGCTCAGATGGCGCTGGCTGTGATGTGGGCTCAGATGGCGCTGGCTTGTGATGTGGGCTCAGATGGCGCTGGCTGTGATGTGGGCTCAGATGGCGCTGGCTGTGATGTGGGCTCAGATGGCGCTGGCTGTGATGTGGGCTCAGATGGCGCTGGCTGTGATGTGGGCTCAGATGGCGCTGGCTGTGATGTGGGCTCAGATGGCGTTGGCTGTGATGTGGGCTCAGATGGCGCTGGCTGTGATGTGGGCTCAGATGGCGCTGGCTGTGATGTGGGCTCAGATGGCGCTGGCTGTGATGTGGGCTCAGATGGCGCTGGCTGTGATGTGGGCTCAGATGGCGCTGGCTGTGATGTGGGCTCAGATGGCGCTGGCTGTGATGTGGGCTCAGATGGCGCTGGCTGTGATGTGGGCTCAGATGGCGCTGGCTGTGATGTGGGCTCAGATGGCGCTGGCTGTGATGTGGGCTCAGATGGCGCTGGCTGTGATGTGGGCTCAGATGGCGCTGGCTGTGATGTGGGCTCAGATGGCGCTGGCTGTGATGTGGGCTCAGATGGCGCTGGCTGTGATGTGGGCTCAGATGGCGCTGGCTGTGATGTGGGCTCAGATGGCGCTGGCTGTGATGTGGGCTCAGATGGCGCTGGCTGTGATGTGGGCTCAGATGGCGCTGGCTGTGATGTGGGCTCAGATGGCGCTGGCTGTGATGTGGGCTCAGATGGCGCTGGCTGTGATGTGGGCTCAGATGGCGCTGGCTGTGATGTGGGCTCAGATGGCGCTGGCTGTGATGTGGGCTCAGATGGCGCTGGCTGTGATGTGGGCTCAGATGGCGCTGGCTGTGATGTGGGCTCAGATGGCGCTGGCTGTGATGTGGGCTCAGATGGCGCTGGCTGTGATGTGGGCTCAGATGGCGCTGGCTGTGATGTGGGCTCAGATGGCGCTGGCTGTGATGTGGGCTCAGATGGCGCTGGCTGTGATGTGGGCTCAGATGGCGCTGGCTGTGATGTGGGCTCAGATGGCGCTGGCTGTGATGTGGGCTCAGATGGCGCTGGCTGTGATGTGGGCTCAGATGGCGCTGGCTGTGATGTGGGCTCAGATGGCGCTGGCTGTGATGTGGGCTCAGATGGCGCTGGCTGTGATGTGGGCTCAGATGGCGCTGGCTGTGATGTGGGCTCAGATGGCGCTGGCTGTGATGTGGGCTCAGATGGCGCTGGCTATGATGTGGGCTCAGATGGCGCTGGCTGTGATGTGGGCTCAGATGGCGCTGGCTGTGATGTGGGCTCAGATGGCGCTGGCTGTGATGTGGGCTCAGATGGCGCTGGCTGTGATGTGGGCTCAGATGGCGCTGGCTGTGATGTGGGCTCAGATGGCGCTGGCTGTGATGTGGGCTCAGATGGCGCTGGCTGTGATGTGGGCTCAGATGGCGCTGGCTGTGATGTGGGCTCAGATGGCGCTGGCTGTGATGTGGGCTCAGATGGCGCTGGCTGTGATGTGGGCTCAGATGGCGCTGGCTGTGATGTGGGCTCAGATGGCGCTGGCTGTGATGTGGGCTCAGATGGCGCTGGCTGTGATGTGGGCTCAGATGGCGCTGGCTGTGATGTGGGCTCAGATGGCGCTGGCTGTGATGTGGGCTCAGATGGCGCTGGCTGTGATGTGGGCTCAGATGGCGCTGGCTGTGATGTGGGCTCAGATGGCGCTGGCTGTGATGTGGGCTCAGATGGCGCTGGCTGTGATGTGGGCTCAGATGGCGCTGGCTGTGATGTGGGCTCAGATGGCGCTGGCTGTGATGTGGGCTCAGATGGCGCTGGCTGTGATGTGGGCTCAGATGGCGCTGGCTGTGATGTGGGCTCAGATGGCGCTGGCTGTGATGTGGGCTCAGATGGCGCTGGCTGTGATGTGGGCTCAGATGGCGCTGGCTGTGATGTGGGCTCAGATGGCGCTGGCTGTGATGTGGGCTCAGATGGCGCTGGCTGTGATGTGGGCTCAGATGGCGCTGGCTGTGATGTGGGCTCAGATGGCGCTGGCTATGATGTGGGCTCAGATGGCGCTGGCTGTGATGTGGGCTCAGATGGCGCTGGCTGTGATGTGGGCTCAGATGGCGCTGGCTGTGATGTGGGCTCAGATGGCGCTGGCTGTGATGTGGGCTCAGATGGCGCTGGCTGTGATGTGGGCTCAGATGGCGCTGGCTGTGATGTGGGCTCAGATGGCGCTGGCTGTGATGTGGGCTCAGATGGCGCTGGCTGTGATGTGGGCTCAGATGGCGCTGGCTGTGATGTGGGCTCAGATGGCGCTGGCTGTGATGTGGGCTCAGATGGCGCTGGCTGTGATGTGGGCTCAGATGGCGCTGGCTGTGACGTGGGCTCAGATGGCGCTGGCTGTGATGTGGGCTCAGATGGCGCTGGCTGTGATGTGGGCTCAGATGGCGCTGGCTGTGATGTGGGCTCAGATGGCGCTGGCTGTGATGTGGGCTCAGATGGCGCTGGCTGTGATGTGGGCTCAGATGGCGCTGGCTGTGATGTGGGCTCAGATGGCGCTGGCTGTGATGTGGGCTCAGATGGCGCTGGCTGTGATGTGGGCTCAGATGGCGCTGGCTGTGATGTGGGCTCAGATGGCGCTGGCTGTGATGTGGGCTCAGATGGCGCTGGCTGTGATGTGGGCTCAGATGGCGCTGGCTGTGATGTGGGCTCAGATGGCGCTGGCTGTGATGTGGGCTCAGATGGCGTTGGCTGTGATGTGGGCTCAGATGGCGCTGGCTGTGATGTGGGCTCAGATGGCGCTGGCTGTGATGTGGGCTCAGATGGCGCTGGCTGTGATGTGGGCTCAGATGGCGCTGGCTGTGATGTGGGCTCAGATGGCGCTGGCTGTGATGTGGGCTCAGATGGCGCTGGCTGTGATGTGGGCTCAGATGGCGCTGGCTGTGATGTGGGCTCAGATGGCGCTGGCTGTGATGTGGGCTCAGATGGCGCTGGCTGTGATGTGGGCTCAGATGGCGCTGGCTGTGATGTGGGCTCAGATGGCGCTGGCTGTGATGTGGGCTCAGATGGCGCTGGTTGTGATGTGGGCTCAGATGGCGCTGGCTGTGATGTGGGCTCAGATGGCGCTGGCTGTGATGTGGGCTCAGATGGCGCTGGCTGTGATGTGGGCTCAGATGGCGCTGGCTGTGATGTGGGCTCAGATGGCGCTGGCTGTGATGTGGGCTCAGATGGCGCTGGCTGTGATGTGGGCTCAGATGGCGCTGGCTGTGATGTGGGCTCAGATGGCGCTGGCTGTGATGTGGGCTCAGATGGCGCTGGCTGTGATGTGGGCTCAGATGGCGCTGGCTGTGATGTGGGCTCAGATGGCGCTGGCTGTGATGTGGGCTCAGATGGCGCTGGCTGTGATGTGGGCTCAGATGGCGCTGGCTGTGATGTGGGCTCAGATGGCGCTGGCTGTGATGTGGGCTCAGATGGCGCTGGCTGTGATGTGGGCTCAGATGGCGCTGGCTGTGATGTGGGCTCAGATGGCGCTGGCTGTGATGTGGGCTCAGATGGCGCTGGCTGTGATGTGGGCTCAGATGGCGCTGGCTGTGATGTGGGCTCAGATGGCGCTGGCTGTGATGTGGGCTCAGATGGCGCTGGCTGTGATGTGGGCTCAGATGGCGCTGGCTGTGATGTGGGCTCAGATGGCGCTGGCTGTGATGTGGGCTCAGATGGCGCTGGCTGTGATGTGGGCTCAGATGGCGCTGGCTGTGATGTGGGCTCAGATGGCGCTGGCTGTGATGTGGGCTCAGATGGCGCTGGCTGTGATGTGGGCTCAGATGGCGCTGGTTGTGATGTGGGCTCAGATGGCGCTGGCTGTGATGTGGGCTCAGATGGCGCTGGCTGTGATGTGGGCTCAGATGGCGCTGGCTGTGATGTGGGCTCAGATGGCGCTGGCTGTGATGTGGGCTCAGATGGCGCTGGCTGTGATGTGGGCTCAGATGGCGCTGGCTGTGATGTGGGCTCAGATGGCGCTGGCTGTGATGTGGGCTCAGATGGCGCTGGCTGTGACGTGGGCTCAGATGGCGCTGGCTGTGATGTGGGCTCAGATGGCGCTGGCTGTGATGTGGGCTCAGATGGCGCTGGCTGTGATGTGGGCTCAGATGGCGCTGGCTGTGATGTGGGCTCAGATGGCGCTGGCTGTGATGTGGGCTCAGATGGCGCTGGCTGTGATGTGGGCTCAGATGGCGCTGGCTGTGATGTGGGCTCAGATGGCGCTGGCTGTGATGTGGGCTCAGATGGCGCTGGCTGTGATGTGGGCTCAGATGGCGCTGGCTGTGATGTGGGCCACCTCAACCACGCTACCCGTGCACTCTCTTGCCCCTGCTTCTTCTGACTCCTTTTCCATTGTGCTTGCATGCTAATGGCTGTCTCACTCACCTTGAACGTGTGCATTCGCGTGGCGTGAGATGGCATGGCATGGTCTGGCATGGCACGGTCTGTCATGGCATGTCTGGCATGGGGTGGTGTGGCGTGGCATGGCATGGCATGGCATGGCATTGCGTGGCATGGCATGGCATGGCATGGCATGGCGTGGCATGGCATGGCATGGCGTGGCGGGGCATGGCATGGCATGGCATGGCATGGCGTGGCATGGCATGGCATGGCGTGGCGTGGCATGGCATGGCGTGGCATGGCATGGCGTGGCGTGGCATGGCATGGCACGGAGCATGCAGGGCGCAGTTGAAGGAGCAGCTGGACGGATCCAAGGACAGACCAGATGTCACCACGCTCTTGCAGGTCACACCCCGTGCAGGTTATATTATACCTGGTGCAGGTCATTCATACCTGATGCAGGTCATACCTGGTGCAGGTCATACCCGGTGCAGGTCATACCTGGTGCAGGTCATACCCGGTGCAGAGTCCAGCTGCGCATGTGTGCTGCTGACTCTGACTTCACGGTGGCGTCAAATTAATGGACTCTAGTGATCAGCATCTCATACCCAGTGTTTCCTGCACTCTCCACGACTCGTTGCCTGAACCTTCCACTTCCCACCTCGACCCACCCGCTACTTCCCCACCCCCCCTCCCTCCTCCCCTCCCCGCCCTCCCCTCCTCTCCACACTCCCCCTCCCCCCCCACCAGGCGTTGGAGCGCACGTTGGAGTTTGAGGACGACCTGGCCAAGCGCTTCCCCCCCGCGCCTGCCGCGGGCGCTGCCTCGCCCTCCTCGCCTGCTGCCGCTGCCCCCGCTGCTGGCGCCACTGATGTGGATGTGAGTCGCAGCGGGCGGGTGGGAGGGAGGGGAGGAAAGGCAGTGTGGCAGAGGGGGCTTGCGTGGGAAGATTATTAGCAAGGAAGAAGGCGAGCAGGGCGCGTGACGAATGGCCTTGAACACCAGTTGAACCCGGGCCAACCGGGCCCAGAACATTGCATTGCAGTCACACTCGTCCAACCTCTCCCGTTCCCGTGCTGCCTGCATGCAGTTTCAGTTCCAAGGGGCCATCTCATCGTGCTTTGAGCCGCACCTGGGGGTGTATGTGGACCTCGAGGAGCGCACACTAGTGGACACACTTGACAAGCTTGTGCAGGTGATAGGCTGGTGCAGGTGACAACCGGTGCAGGTGACAACCGGTGCAGGTGACAACCGGTGCAGGTGACAACTGGTGCAGGTGACAACCGGTGCAGGTGACAACCGGTGCAGGTGACAACCGGTGCAGGTGACAACCGGATAAAAAACGTTGTGACTGACTGTATCTGTAGGTTGAGCACCATTTCGTAAGAAAGTTAGGATTGACCGTTAAAAATTCTACCTAAAGTTACTTCTCCAACAGGTACACTTAAAGGAGCTCCGCTCATTCATCGATTGTCCTGTTTTTCTTTTCTGTGATGGTGCCGTGTGGTGCCGTGTGGTGCCGTGTGGTGCATGATTCACGGCAGGAGGAGACATGGGAGGCGGAGGAAGGCAGCCAAACCAATATCCTGCGCAGCAGCTCAGAGGTGGGAGGGTAACCGTAGTTGGGAGGAGTTGGGATGTGAGGGGGCATAGAAGCAGTCTCGACATCGCTGCTCTCAATCGTCCATTTGTTTTCATTGTAAACTTTCCTACAATGCCATCCTGCGTAGCCTGCGCCCCTGCTGTGCGGCAGATGTTTCTGGCGATCCGCAAGAGCTTCAACCGCTGCTGCCAGCTCACCAGGAAGCAAACGCTGCTCAGCCTCTTCCAGGTGAGCCTTCTTTGAGCAATAATGTGATGCCAGACTAATTGGCCTTGATGTGATTCTTCCTTTTGGGCGTCCTCAGTGTTCTCCTCTTCCCAAGCCACTTGTCTCCGCCTTTACATCATCAATGTGAGCACCAGAGGCTCCTGCTGTTGGAGAGCTAGAATTGATACATTGAATAATGAGCCAAGAGGCTCTTTAGTACAAACAATGAGCAAGAGAGAGATGAGAGGGAAGCTTACCCTATTGGCCAATAAGTTGGCCAATGGGTGAGCTTGCTTGTGACCCAAGCAACCACAAATGTGTGTTGGTTGGGATTGGTTGAGCTAAGGACCAATCCCAACCAACCACAAAATGTGGTTGGAGGGTACACTAAGCAACCCCCCAATTTATAAATGTGCTACACTTCTAGCCTATGTATGTTGTATGAAATATGAAATTACAACACCTGCTGCATGCACATCACTCGTCTCTCATCAGTGCTACCCCCTCCCCCCTCCCCCATCCGCCCCTCGTCCCGCCGTCTCCAGGTGTTCAAGCGTGTGCTGCGGCAGTACGCGGCGCGCCTCAGCGCCCGCCTGCCCCGCGCTGCCCAACCCACCGCAGGGGGCGAGTGGCAAGTCAAGGTGGGGCGGGGGGTAGGGTGAGGCGCATGGGGGTATGGCGGGGGAAGGGCCAAGGGGGCAAGGAGAGCACGGTGGGGATGAGAAGGCGGGGCAAGTAGGCATGCGATGGATGTTGGGTGGGGGGGGGGGAAGGGTGGAGTGGATGAGATGCATGGATGCATGGATGCATGGATGCATATGGATGCATGGATGCATGGATGCATGGATGCATGGATGCATGGGCGAGTGGGGAGGGCCGCAGGGAGCTGGCGGGGTGGGGTGGGTGGGGAGGTAGCAGTGGTTACAGGAGGCATGGCTCCACGCATGAGCGTTCGTGTGCTGTCAGCCTCGGCCGCCGTTGCAGTGCTGCTCCTTCGTGCTCTCTCCTCCTTCCCTTCCTTCCCGCCCACTCCCATTCTCCCCGTTTCTTTATTGCACACAAGCTTGCACCTACAAATGGAAAGAAGAGGCGAGTCACACTCATTTCTATGTGCGCTGATTCTCGTCTGCCTCTGCCCACCCCGCACGTCTGGGCCCATGCGCGCAGATGACAGAGAAGGATGAGCGAGTGGTGTGCTACATCATCAACACAGCCGAGTACTGCCATGAGACGGTGAGTCTAGCTATGCTGCTCGTTACTCGTGCATCTCTCCATTCTCTCTTTCCTTTACAGTTCCTCCTTTCTACTTCTTCCCTCTCGTTACCACCGCTTCTCATTGCCACCCTCTCGTTACCACCGCTTCTCATTGCCACCCTCTCGTCTCCCCTGTGCCCCTTTCCACGCCACCTCCCTTCCCTCTCTCCTCCCCCCATCCCCTCTTCCTTCGTGCCTCGTCTCTCCTTGGTGGGCAGCACAGCAGGCAGGGAGTGCACAAGCGGTCACCGGCACGACTGCTCCACGGCCGCTTGCATGCACCCACACCTCTCACGCCTCTATCTCCCTACCCTCTCTTCCTCCCCACTTGGTCTCCCCCCACGGCAGGCGGCATAGCTGGCGGAGAGCGGCGAATCGCGTCGTTGCGACGCTGGTGGGCTCACACTCATGCAACAGCAATCACCTCGTGTCCCTGCACCCCACCCTCTCGCCCCTTTCACTTGTCTCCCCCATGGCAGGCGGCCCAGCTGGCGGAGAGTGTGGCGAACCGCATCGATGCGGCGCTGGTGGGGTCCGTCGACATCAGCGACGAGCAGGTGGGATCCGTTGACATCAGCGACGAGCAGGTGGGATCCGTTGACATCAGCGATGAGCAGGTGGGATCCGTTGACATCAGCGACGAGCAGGTGGGATCCGTTGACATCAGCGACGAGCAGGTGGGATCCGTTGACATCAGCGACGAGCACGTGGGATCCGTTGACATCAGCGACGAGCAGGTGGGATCCTTCGACATCAGCGACGAGCAGGTGGGATCCGTCGACATCAGCGACGAGCAGGTGGGATCCGTTGACATCAGCGACGAGCAGGTGGGATCCGTTGACATCAGCGACGAGCAGGTGGGATCCGTCGACACCAGCGACGAGCAGGTGGGATCCGTCGACATCAGCGACGAGCAGGTGGGATCCGTCGACATCAGCGACGAGCAGGTGGGATCCGTCGACATCAACGACGAGCAGGTGGGATCCGTAGACATCAGCGACAAGCAGGTGGGATCCGTCGACATCAGCGACGAGCAGGTGGGATCCGTCGACATCAGCGACGAGCAGGTGGGATCCGTTGACATCAGCGACGAGCAGGTGGGATCCGTTGACATCAGCGACGAGCAGGTGGGATTCGTTGACATCAGCGACGAGCAGGTGGGATTCGTTGACATCAGCGACGAGCAGGTGGGATCCGTTGACATAAGCGACGAGCAGGTGGGATCCGTCGACATCAGCGACGAGCAGGTGGGATCCGTTGACATCAGCGACGAGCAGGTGGGATCCGTCGACATCAGCGACGAGCAGGTGGGATCCGTTGACATCAGCGACGAGCAGTTGGGATCCGTTGACATCAGCGACGAGCAGGTGGGATCCGTTGACATCAGCGACGAGCAGGTGGGATCCGTTGACATCAGCGACGAGCAGGTGGGATCCGTTGACATCAGCGACGAGCAGGTGGGATCCGTCGACATCAGCGACGAGCAGGTGGGATCCGTTGACACCAGCGACGAGCAGGTGGGATCCGTTGACATCAGCGACGAGCAGGTGGGATCCGTTGACATCAGCGACGAGCAGGTGGGATCCGTTGACATCAGCGACGAGCAGGTGGGATCCGTTGACATCAGCGACGAGCAGGTGGTGTCCGTTGACATCAGCGACGAGCAGGTGGGATCCGTTGACATCAGCGACGAGCAGGTGGGATCCGTTGACATCAGCGACGAGCAGGTGGGATCCGTTGACATCAGCGACGAGCAGGTGGGATCCGTTCACACCAGCGACGAGCAGGTGGGATCCTTTGACATCAGCGACGAGCAGGTGGGATCCGTTGACATCAGCGACGAGCAGGTGGGATCCGTCGACATCAGCGACGAGCCGGTGGGATCCGTCGACATCAGCGACGAGCAGGTGGGATCCGTCGACATCAGCGACGAGCAGGTGGGATCCGTCGACATCAGCGACGAGCAGGTGGGATCCGTCGACATCAGCGACGAGCAGGTGGGATCCGTTGACATCAGCGACGAGCAGGTGGGATCCGTTGACATCAGCGACGAGCAGGTGGGGTCCGTTGACATCAGCGACGAGCAGGTGGGGTCCGTTGACATCAGCGACGAGCAGGTGGGGTCCGTTGACATCAGCGATGAGCAGGTGGGATCCGTTGACATCAGCGACGAGCAGGTGGGATCCATTGACATCAGCGACGAGCAGGTGGGATCCGTTGACATCAGCGACGAGCAGGTGGGATCCGTTGACATCAGCGACGAGCAGGTGGGATCCGTTGACACCAGCGACGAGCAGGTGGGATCCTTTGACATCAGCGACGAGCAGGTGGGATCCGTTGACATCAGCGACGAGCAGGTGGGATCCGTCGACATCAGCGACGAGCAGGTGGGATCCGTCGACATCAGCGACGAGCAGGTGGGATCCGTCGACATCAGCGACGAGCAGGTGGGATCCGTAGACATCAGCGACAAGCAGGTGGGATCTGTCGACATCAGCGACGAGCAGGTGGGATCCGTTGACATCAGCGACGAGCAGGTGGGATCCGTTGACATCAGTGACGAGCAGGTGGGATCCGTTGACATCAGCGACGAGCAGGTGGGGTCCGTTGACATCAGCGACGAGCAGGTGGGATCCGTTGACATCAGCGACGAGCAGGTGGGATCCGTTGACATCAGCGACGAGCAGGTGGGATCCGTTGACATCAGCGACGAGCAGGTGGGATCCGTTGACATCAGCGACGAGCAGGTGGGATCCGTTGACATCAGCGACGAGCAGGTGGGATCCGTCGACATCAGCGACGAGCAGGTGGGATCCGTTGACATCAGCGACGAGCAGGTGGGATCCGTTGACATCAGCGACGAGCAGGTGGGATCCGTCGACATCAGCGACGAGCAGGTGGGATCCGTTGACATCAGCGACGAGCAGGTTGGGGGGAGAGGGGGGTGGGGGGGAGACAGGAAGGAATGCGTGTGGTGAGGAGGAGCTGGTTGGAGGGGTGAAGTGAAGGCAGGTGGGAGGGGGGAAGGAGGAACTCGTGCGGCTGAAGGGAGATGTGTGTGGGGGAAGCAGCTCTAGTGGTCAATGCACAGTCACAATCCCACCCCCCTGCCATGTGCGTTTGTGTACAAAAGTTGGTAGTTTCTTGTATCTAGTAGTAATTGTCCTATTTTACAAACTACACAAACATTTGAAACGACTCCATCTCGTGCTTCTTCCTCACCTCACCATGCTGCCATGCCACCCGGTCAACCCCTGTCTCCATGCACTGCTGTTTGCCATGATGTCCTCGCATGGCATGGCCAGGAGGAGTTTTCAAGTGCCATCATACGGCCGCTGGCGGTGTTGCTATCATGATGTGTTGCTATCATGATGTGTTGCTATCATGATGTGTTGCTATCATGATGTGTTGCTATCATGATGTGTTGCTATCATGATGTGTTGCTATCATGATGTGTTGCCATCATGATGTGTTGCTATCATGATGTGTTGCTATCATGATTTGTTGCTATCATGATGTGTTGCTATCATGATGTGTTGCTATCATGATGTGTTGCTATCATGATGTGTTGCTATCATGATGTGTTGCTATCATGATGTGTTGCTATCATGATGTGTTGCTATCATGATGTGTTGCTATCATGATGTGTTGCCATCATGATGTGTTGCTATCATGATGTGTTGGTATCATGATTTGTTGCTATCATGTTGTGTTGCTATCATGATGTGTTGCTATCATGATGTGTTGCTATCATGATGTGTTGCTATCATGATGTGTTGCTATCATGATGTGTTGCTATCATGATGTGTTGCTATCATGATGTGTTGCTATCATGATGTGTTGCTATCATGATGTGTTGCTATCATGATGTGTTGCTATCATGATGTGTTGCTATCATGATGTGTTGCTATCATGATGTGTTGCTATCATGATGTGTTGCTATCATGATGTGTTGCTATCATGATGTGTTGCTATCATGATGTGTTGCTATCATGATGTGTTGCTATCATGATGTGTTGCTATCATGATGTGTTGCTATCATGATGTGTTGCTATCATGATGTGTTGCTATCATGATGTGTTGCTGTCATGATGTGTTGCTATCATGATGTGTTGCTATCATGATGTGTTGCTATCATGATGTGTTGCTATCATGATGTGTTGCTATCATGATGTGTTGCTATCATGATGTGTTGCCATCATGATGTGTTGCTATCATGATGTGTTGCTATCATGATGTGTTGCCATCATGATGTGTTGCTATCATGTGATGTTGCTATCATGATGTGTTGCTATCATGATGTGTTGCTATCATGATGTGTTGCCATTATGATGTGTTGCTATCATGATGTGTTGCTATCATGATGTGTTGCCATCATGATGTGTTGCTATCATGATGTGTTGCTATCATGATGTGTTGCTATCATGATGTGTTGCTATCATGATTTGTTGCTATCATGATGTGTTGCTATCATGATGTGTTGCTATCATGATGTGTTGCTATCATGATGTGTTGCTATCATGATGTGTTGCTATCATGATGTGTTGCTATCATGATGTGTTGCTATCATGATGTGTTGCTATCATGATGTGTTGCTATCATGATGTGTTGCTATCATGATGTGTTGCTATCATGATGTTGCTATCATGATGTGTTGCTATCATGATGTGTTGCTATCATGATGTGTTGCTATCATGATGTGTTGCTATCATGATGTGTTGCTATCATGATGTGTTGCTATCATGATGTGTTGCTATCATGATGTGTTGCTATCATGATGTGTTGCTATCATGATGTGTTGCTATCATGATGTGTTGCTATCATGATGTGTTGCTATCATGATGTGTTGCTATCATGATGTGTTGCTATCATGATGTGTTGCTATCATGATGTGTTGCTATCATGATGTGTTGCTATCATGATGTGTTGCCATCATGATGTGTTGCCATCATGATGTGTTGCTATCATGATGTGTTGCTATCATGATGTGTTGCCATCATGATGTGTTGCTATCATGATGTGTTGCCATCATGATGTGTTGCTATCATGATGTGTTGCTATCATGATGTGTTGCTATCATGATGTGTTGCTATCATGATGTGTTGCTATCATGATGTGTTGCCATCATGATGTGTTGCTATCATGATGTGTACGCTCGACCTTTTTGCCCCAACCACTCCCTCCCACCCCCACCCCACCCTCGGCTTCCTCCCATGCTGCGACGTGGCAGGAGGAGTTTTCAAGCGCCATCACGCGCGCGCTGGCAGTGCTGGTGGCGGGGCTGGAGGGGCGGCTGGACGGCGAGCTGGACCGCATGGCGCGCATGCCCTGGAGCACCCTTGAGTCCGTGGGCGACCAATCCGAGTGAGCCACGTGGCACTGCTGCTGGTGCGGTCGTGTTGTGTGATTGTGCAGTGGCTGGCTTGCAGGTGCTGTATGCATTTCACAATCACATTCACATTCACATAGCACGGGTGCACCGGTATGTGCTGCGTTGACAAAGAGCAGCAATACACATTCAGCGTTCCAAGTGGTGCGGGATACACGGCATGGCATGGGAGCACAGCACACACATTTGGCCATGCGCATATGTCTCCCTCTCCGCAGCCACAACACCTTCCACATCCACCTTCCACCTTCCAACCCACTTCCTTCCCCCCCCCCAATCCCTACTCTCCGCGCTCTGGTCCCCTCGTGTGGCGCGCAGGTTCGTGAACAATCTGAGCGCCATCTGCTCCAACTCCATCCCCATGCTCGCAGGGCTGCTCTCGCCGCTGCACTTCCACTTCTTCCTCGATAAGGTGCGCCCCTCCACCTCCATTACCTGCCCCTTCCGCCTCAGTGCTTTGCCATTGCACGTGTGACTGAATGTGTGCCTTAGCGTCAGTGGGGATGCGGCGAATGTGCGGTACTGCATGCGGGGTTGACCATGTGCGGTACTGCATACGGTGTTGACCATGTGCCCGATGCCTAAATGCGTCCACCTGCCCGCTGGGCCCACCATGCCCGCTCGCCTGCTTGCGGCTAGCCCTGTTACAAATCGTTGGTGGGCATTTCACGATTGATGGCGAGCGGACTTGACAGGCAACAAGCACTGGCCGCACATGCACGGACGAGCACGAGCCAGCGAGGCTTGTCAGCCCCCCTCACATTGCCTGCTTCTACTCAACCCCGCCTCGTCCCAACCTGGCTCAAGCCGGCCCTGGCGTCCCCCATGCTCACGCGTACTCCCTGTTCTGCTCCCCCAATCTCCCCAACTCCCTCGCCCATCACGCGCGCCTCACTCCCCGAGCGCCAGCTGGCAGCGTCATTCGGCCCGCGCTACTACGCCACGGTCTTCAAGGCCAAACGCCTCTCCGGCACCGGCGCCCAGCAGGTGATGCCCCCATGCCATGGCGCCCAGCAGGTGATGCCCCCATGCCATGGCGCCCAGCAGGTGATGCCCTCATGCCATGGCTTAAGCCTTGCGGTGGTAGAACACCCTAGAGATTGGATTTTGGATGAACAAAGCGTGTGCTCTTCGTAAATTTGCACTTAAACTGCTGTATCAACCATGCTGCCGTGTTGGTCCCTTTCGCACAAGCCCGGCCTTCATCTCATTCCCACAGCTCTGTGTCTGTGTGTATGCCTTCCCACAGCTCTGTGTCTGTGTGTATGCCTTCCGATTCTTTATCCCTCTTGCTGTCCCATCTCCACCCCAACTCCGCTCCATCTCTCCCTCCCGTCTTCCCTGTGCCAACTCTCACTGGGCCCACGTCCCTGCCCCTCGCTGCACCCATGCCCCGCCACACGGATGCTGCTGGACACGCACGGCATCAAGACCATCCTGCTCCAGCTGCCAGCCCACTGCTCTGATTCCCCATCCCACTTGCTGACACATGTCCCTCTCCCGTCCCCCACTGCCACTCCTGCGCGCATGCCCTCTCATTGCCGCCCACACCAGATGCTGCTGGACACGCACGGCATCAAGACCATTCTGCTCGAGCTGCCTGCACTGGGGGGCCTCGTGAGTCATGCCATGCCATGCCATGCACTGGGGGCCCTCGTGAGTCATGCCATGCCATGCCATGCACTGGGGGGGCTCGTGAGTCATGCCATGCTATGTGCGCTGCTCCCACCACTGCACGCACCCGTCTCCCACTCTTGTTGCTGATTCTGTCCACGCATCTCAGTGCCACACAGACCATGCTCCCCCTCTCCCACCACTCCTGTCTCACCACTTACCCCGCCTCTTCGACCTCTCTGCCTCCTCCCTCACCCCCATGTACCCTCGTGCAGGCGGCCACAGCAGCGTACAGCAAGTATGTGACGCGCGAGATGGGGCGATCAGAGGCGCTGCTCAAGGTGAGATGGGGCGATCAGAGGCGCTGCTCAAGGTGAGATGGGGCGATCAGAGGCGCTGCTCAAGGTGAGATGGGGCGATCAGAGGCGCTGCTCAAGGTGAGATGGGGCGATCAGAGGCGTTGCTCAAGGTGAGATGGGGCGATCAGAGGCGCTGCTCAAGGTGAGATGGGGCGATCAGAGGCGCTGCTCAAGGTGAGATGGGGCGATCAGAGGCGCTGCTCAAGGTGAGATGGGGCGATCAGAGGCGCTGCTCAAGGTGAGATGGGGCGATCAGAGGCGCTGCTCAAGGTGAGATGGGGCGATCAGAGGCGCTGCTCAAGGTGAGATGGGGCGATCAGAGGCGCTGCTCAAGGTGAGATGGGGCGATCAGAGGCGCTGCTCAAGGTGAGATGGGGCGATCAGAGGCGCTGCTCAAGGTGAGATGGGGCGATCAGAGGCGCTGCTCAAGGTGAGATGGGGCGATCAGAGGCGCTGCTCAAGGTGAGATGGGGCGATCAGAGGCGCTGCTCAAGGTGAGATGGGGCGATCAGAGGCGCTGCTCAAGGTGAGATGGGGCGATCAGAGGCGCTGCTCAAGGTGAGATGGGGCGATCAGAGGCGCTGCTCAAGGTGAGATGGGGCGATCAGAGGCGCTGCTCAAGGTGAGATGGGGCGATCAGAGGCGCTGCTCAAGGTGAGATGGGGCGATCAGAGGCGCTGCTCAAGGTGAGATGGGCGATCAGAGGCGCTGCTCAAGGTGAGATGGGGCGATCAGAGGCGCTGCTCAAGGTGAGATGGGGCGATCAGAGGCGCTGCTCAAGGTGAGATGGGGCGATCAGAGGCGCTGCTCAAGGTGAGATGGGGCGATCAGAGGCGCTGCTCAAGGTGAGATGGGGCGATCAGAGGCGCTGCTCAAGGTGAGATGGGGCGATCAGAGGCGCTGCTCAAGGTGAGATGGGGCGATCAGAGGCGCTGCTCAAGGTGAGATGGGGCGATCAGAGGCGCTGCTCAAGGTGAGATGGGGCGATCAGAGGCGCTGCTCAAGGTGAGATGGGGCGATCAGAGGCCCTGCTCAAGGTGAGATGGGGCGATCAGAGGCGCTGCTCAAGGTGAGATGGGGCGATCAGAGGCGTTGCTCAAGGTGAGATGGGGCGATCAGAGGCGCTGCTCAAGGTGAGATGGGGCGATCAGAGGCGCTGCTCAAGGTGAGATGGGGCGATCAGAGGCGCTGCTCAAGGTGAGATGGGGCGATCAGAGGCGCTGCTCAAGGTGAGATGGGGCGATCAGAGGCGCTGCTCAAGGTGAGACGGGGCGATCAGAGGCGCTGCTCAAGGTGAGATGGGGCGATCAGAGGCGCTGCTCAAGGTGAGATGGGGCGATCAGAGGCGCTGCTCAAGGTGAGATGGGGCGATCAGAGGCGCTGCTCAAGGTGAGATGGGGCGATCAGAGGCGCTGCTCAAGGTGAGATGGGGCGATCAGAGGCGCTGCTCAAGGTGAGATGGGGCGATCAGAGGCGCTGCTCAAGGTGAGATGGGGCGATCAGAGGCGCTGCTCAAGGTGAGATGGGGCGATCAGAGGCGCTGCTCAAGGTGAGATGGGGCGATCAGAGGCGCTGCTCAAGGTGAGATGGGGCGATCAGAGGCGCTGCTCAAGGTGAGATGGGGCGATCAGAGGCGCTGCTCAAGGTGAGATGGGGCGATCAGAGGCGCTGCTCAAGGTGAGATGGGGCGATCAGAGGCGCTGCTCAAGGTGAGATGGGGCGATCAGAGGCGCTGCTCAAGGTGAGATGGGGATGTCTCATCGCTGCTCCTGCCCTGCCCTCCCTGCCTGCTATGCATCTTTCCGCTGCAATGCTTGGCTCTCTTCCATTGTAGTACTGCCATTGGTCTGCTGGCCATGCTCCCTCTCGCTCACGCCCTGCCTCCATCCCACTCCTGCGCCCCTGTTGGGGGAGCCATCACCCCTCCTCTCCTCCCCCCCACCAGGTGGTGCTAGCGCCACAGGAGAACCTGGTGGACACGTACCGCACGCTGCTGCCCGATGGCTCCGCTGCTGACTTCCTGCGCACACTCGACCTCAAGGTGCGCACACTCGACCTCAAGGTGCGCACACTCGACCTCAAGGTGCGCACACTCGACCTCAAGGTGTGCACACTCGACCTCAAGGTGCGCACACTCGACCTCAAGGTGCGCACACTCGACCTCCAGGTGCGCACACTCGACCTCAAGGTGCGCACACTCGACCTCAAGGTGCGCACACTCGACCTCAAGGTGCGCACACTCGACCTCAAGGTGCGCACACTCGACCTCAAGGTGCGCACACTCGACCTCAAGGTGCGCACACTCGACCTCATGGTGCGCACACTCGACCTCAAGGTGCGCACACTCGACCTCAAGGTGCGCACACTCGACCTCAAGGTGCGCACACTCGACCTCAAGGTGCGCACACTCGACCTCAAGGTGCGCACACTCGACCTCAGGGTGCGCACACTCGACCTCAAGGTGCGCACACTCGACCTCAAGGTGCGCACACTCGACCTCAAGGTGCGCACACTCGACCTCAAGGTGCGCACACTCGACCTCAAGGTGCGCACACTCGACCTCAAGGTGCGCACACTCGACCTCAAGGTGCGCACACTCGACCTCAAGGTGCGCACACTCGACCTCAAGGTGCGCACACTCGACCTCAGGGTGCGCACACTCGACCTCAAGGTGTGCACACTCGACCTCAAGGTGCGCACACTCGACCTCAAGGTGCGCACACTCGACCTCAAGGTGCGCACACTCGACCTCAAGGTGCGCACACTCGACCTCAAGGTGCGCACACTCGACCTCAGGGTGCGCACACTCCACCTCAAGGTGCGCACACTCGACCTCAGGGTGCGCACACTCGACCTCAAGGTGCGCACACTCGACCTCAGGGTGCCCACACTCGACCTCAAGGTGCGCCGCCCCCCCAATGGGTGGCACTCTTGCTGTGTGCCCCGTATTGCACCCTGCGCACACTTGACCTCAAGATATCCATTGGCTTGAAATGAACTGGCACACTACAGTATCGCTGCTTCCCCTCTTACCTTCCCTCCCTTTTCCCACTGTACGCATCGCGCTATCATCACCCCCCACCTCTTCGATCATTGTTTCCTCGTCCACCCTCTGCACGCACGTGCCCACCTGTCTCGCCCACCACAGGGAGTGAAGAAGCCAGAGCAGCAGCCACTGGTAGACGCGCTCACAGCCAAGCTCAGAGCAGCAGCGCCCACTCAGGCCCCGCCCTCCAAGTCCCCCACCTCCTCCGCGGCACCCTCCACCTCCACCGCCTCTCACCCACTGCCTGCCACGGCTGCTGCCGCTCCCCCAGCTGCCACAGCCACCGCTGCTGCCGCTGCAGCAGCAGGCATGCTGACGAGCGCTGCCAGCCGCGAGGCCATGATAGCGCGGGCGGCAGCGCTGGGGCGGGGAGCCATGGCGCAGTCAGCGGCGGCGGCAGCAGCGGTGTCGCAGAACACGGCGCTGAAACGCATCTTTGCCCTCGCTGATTCCTCCACCGCCAGTGCGTCCAAGAAAGACATGTCCTTCCGCTCCCTCTTCAATGCTTAGCTTACACACCTTTGCAGGCATTTCGTTTTGTTGAAAATTTGAGTAGAATCTGGGCGCTATGTTTTGCTTTGTCAAGTTACTACTAAGAGGGGACGGGAACACCTCACCTCACCACTCTTTTCATGGTGTTATGAGTGCAATTGAGTGAGCGAACGAGAAATGCACTATCGAAGCAAAACAGTACAACGAGCGAAGGCATGAGCGAATAATACATACCGTCATCGCCCGAATATAAGACATGTATGTCTTATCTCATACATTAAAAAAATCAGTCTTATAAATGGACAAAAATCCGTTTAGAAGATACTTCCTCGTTATACATTTGCCATTTGCCCCTACACACAAATAGGTGTCTTATAATGAGGCTACCCCGTTTTTAAGAGACACACGTATAATACACAACCCCTGTCTACTATTCAACACTGTCTTATATCCGGGTGATGACGGTAGCGAACCTACAGTGGTAACGGTAATGCGTGGAATTGGGGTGCGTGACGGGCCTGGCGCCGAGGTAGGGAATTGTCGAGGCTAAGGTCCGGAGCAGGCCCTCAGATTCATTTTAGCCTGCACTGATGCATCCGGGCTGTTTAGTAGAAAAGCAGCTTTTGCCCTGATTCATCAGGGCTATACAGGGTAAGATACTCTGATCTGGCAGTGCTATTAAAGACATTATACTGTCATCGCCCGGACCGGATAGTAGACAGTGTTGAATAGTAGACAGGGGTTGTCTACTATACGGGTGTCTCTTATAAACAGGCTAGCCTCATTATAAGACACCTATTTGTGTGTACGAGATAAGACATATGTCTTATAACAAGAACAGGGGTTTAGGGGTTCTCTTATAAAGAGGGGGTGTCTTCTAAACGATCATTAGTTCCTTTAGGGGGTACATGCATGTACATCTATGAATATCTACTTCTACCTAGCCCTCCTCAGTCACGGCCTCCTCCCCTGCACTAACACCAGGGTCACTAACACCCAAGTCTGGCACTCGCCAGGCATGCCTGGCCGTCTCCCTAGGCTCGATCATGCGGTCAGCCTCAGCCGCCGCTTCGCGGTAGTTGGGTGTCTCCTCGTACAGCACCTCCAGGCTGGTTGCCACGGCCACCTCCCTCACGCCCTCCGCCTACATCTCCTCCTCCTCCTCTGGCGCCTGCCCAAGCAAGCATGTGTTGTCGCCCGTGGTTCCCCCGAGGCTCATGACCTCGGAGACATTGACAATGCTCCTGGCGTGCAGGTGAGACATCACCCGGTGGTTCTCCGTCCCGTCCAGCTTGCTTGAAATCCCATAGTGGCGGAACGCGTCAACGATGACCTGGCGGGGGACTTGATCCCACGCCTCCGCGATCCACTGCAACATCACGGGGTGCGGAGGCCTTCACAGGTTCCCTGCGCGTGGGACAGAGGCATGGGTAGCGAGCTGTTAGAGACATGGAAAGAAAACAAAGCAGAGATGCGCGGTTGAAGTTCCTCCCCGGACTGTCGTCATCAAAGAGCACCACGCGGGCACGCTTCAGCTTGGACTGCAAGCGATGATGCAGCGTCACCCGTGATGCTCCACGGGTCGTCATCGTCACCTCCCTCCGCAGCATCCGCATCCGCAATTGCGACCACAGCCGCGGGTGCAACAGCATCGGCATCCGCTTCCGCCTCCGCCTCGACGTTAGCCTCCGCATCCGCCTCCACCGTCGTCGTCCTCACTTCCGCAGCCGCTCGTCGTCAGCCTCTGCACCGTCATCGCCCGTCGCTCCCATTGCATGCGCAGCTGCCTCCGCGTGCTCGCCATCAGCATCGGCACCCTCGTCGTTGTCCAAATCACCAGCTCGCCACTCTTCCACTTCGTCATCGCTCCCAACCGGCCGATTCCACCATTCGTCCTCGCCGATGTCGGCAGGGGCTACTTCATCCCCCGAAGCGCTATTGTCGTGGCCGTTCTCCGGCCAATCCTCGTCGCTGTTGTCTCCGTGTTCTTCGTCGCCGTCTTCGCTGCCGTGTCCTTCGTCGCCATCGTCCCCGTCACAGCTCGCATGGGAGGCGGCGGTAGATCTTCCCGCCTTGCGCGTATTCTTCACCATGGCTACACGGATGTCATCACTGGGCGAGTTAATTCGCCCGTAGTTATTCACCTACACGTGAGGGCGAGGTGAGGACGTGCCTGCGGGGACTTTGCTGCGCATGGTTATGGTAAGCCTACCGAGAGCAAAGGTTGAGTTGAGATCTCAACCTCCTTGAGCACAAAATGAAGCTCAAGCCCGACTACCCCCCCCCCCCCCCCCCCCCCCCCCCCCCCCCCCCTCCCCGCTTCAGTGCCCCTTTTAAAGGTGCCGAGCCGCTCCTCTATGAGGAATCTCCTCGTAGAGGACAGCCCTCATGCTGCCATCGTGCTGGCAGCAGGGTTCTGGAAGCATCCAAGCGCTGCTGGCAGCAAAACGACGCTGGCAGCATCATTAGATGCTGCCAGCACGGAGGGATGTTGCCAGTAGTGGCAGCTTTGTTGCATCCCTCACGTGGCAAGTGGGGGCGCTGCATGCATCACCACCGAGGTTGCCCTAATTCAAAGGTATAATGGTACAGGGGTGGTTTCTACACACTTTACAAGTGTTATAGAGTTCTTATATTTTGTTCCATTCATAAGACTTGTATGACACCCTAAACCATCCCAAATACAAGATGACCCAAGCATTTTTAGTGTACGAGATAAGACATATATGTCTACTATCCGGGCGATGATGGTATCAAAAGCTCAGGGTTGGAAATGCGACATCATGAAGTGGTGTAGTGACTAAGGAGTTGTCCAGCTTGATTCCTGCTAGCTCCTTCCCGTCGTACCTGTGAAAGGAGTAAGCAGGAATGAATGACTAAGGAAAGATTGGGTACAAATACAACCCTAGAAACCCTGTACCCCATATGTGCTACCCCACTATAGCCTACAGCAACTATGTCATATAAATCTGACACACCCCCATAGGCAAAGTGGGGGAGAACAAGGGGTCACAAGACCAGTCAAGCAAAGCAAAGCAAGCTCAGGGTGGATCACAAAGTCACCACACAGTCCGAGCACAAGAGTAGGGCCAGAGGCCAGTTCACATGCAGGAGTACAGACATATATATAAAACTAGACAAACAAGAGCAGGCATAAATATATGTCACAGTACAAGTGAAGTCAAGAGGAGAGCAAGTGAGGCAAGACAGGCACAAGACCCAACTGGGTGCAAAAGCGCTGATGGTCACAAGGCGCGAGTGCCTTGGTGAACACATCAGCAGTGTTGGCCTCAGAGGCCACGTACGCAAGTCGCAACTGACCACGCTGCTGCAGCTCACGAGCAAGGAAGTAGCGGAGAGCAATGTGCTTCGTTCTGTGCTCCAAGCGCTGCTCTCGACACAAGGCCAGCATAGCCTTGTTGTCTACGTACAGCACTGGAGGAGAACGAGGCGGCTCTCCAAGGTCAGTCAGCAGGTAGGTGAGCCAGCGAAGCTCCTGTGCAGCCATGGCCCGGGCGTAGATCTCAGCCTCACAACTGGAGCCGAGAACCGAAGACGAGCGAGTAGACCGCCACGAGACAGAGCCGGAACCAAGGATGAAGGTGTAACCGTGTGACGACCGCTGCGTAGCCTGGTCGTCAGCCCAAGAAGCGTCCGCGTGGCCGGTAAGGACCACTGGACTCCGCCCTCCAAGCACTAGCCCCATGCCCGACGTACTGCACAGGTAGCGCAATACCCTCTTCGCTGCAGCCATGTGCTCCGGTCTGTGTCTCCCAGGAGCAACATAGCGTGCCAGAATGCTCAGAGGGTATGCAAGGTCAGGTCGTGTGCAGGTCATCAGGTACATGAGGCAGCCAACAAGCTCTGCATACGGACCACTCGACTCTACGGACTCATCCGAAGGCAGAGCTGAGAGTGAGTGGCGAGTAGGCAGAGGAGTGGCCTGAGGCGAGGAGTACGTGAAGCCGAAGCGCTGAAGGACCTGCTGCACCATGTGTGACTGAGTCAAGGTAATGGTGCGGCGTGCTCTGTCCCGAGTGATCTGCAAGCCAAGGTAGCTGCGCAGTTCACCCAGGTCTGTGCACGTGTGTCTCTTCAGCAGCTCGGACTTCACGTAGGCGAGTCCAGCAGTGTCTGCTGTGGCAAAGACCAAGTCGTCGACGTACACGAGGATGTAGAACGGCGGCAGGGAAGTGTCGGTGCGAAGAAACAGCGACGGGTCAGCAGTAGAAGGAGCAAACCCAAGAGCCGCAAGCGTAGTCCTCAGTGTGTCGTGCCACTCACGCGGTGCCTGGCGGAGACCGTAGACTGGCCGTCGGAGGCTCCACTGGGTGCCAGGAGGGAAAGTCCCAGTAAAGCCAGGTGGACGGCGAAGCCAGATCTCCTCGTGCAGGCTACCCTGCAAGAACGCAGTGCTGAAGTCGAGAGAGTGAAGCTCGTAGTCGCGCTGAGCGGCTATGTGCAGCAGCACCCGAAGAGTAGTCATCTTCGGGGTGGGAGAGAAGGTCTGAAAGTAGTCAACTCCCTGCCGCTGACTGAAGCCACGAGCAACGTACCGTGCCTTGAAGACAGGTGGAGAGCCCGGCGGCCGCTTCACCCTGAAGATCCACATGCCACTGACGATGTTCGCCCCAGGAGGGGGAACCGCGTCAACGTAGGTGCCTGTGGACTTCCAGGAAGCCATCTCTGCATCCATAGCTGCCTGCCACTGAGAGGAGTAGGGACCCTCTACGGCCTCCGCGTAAGAACGCGGAGTCGGGATGTCTAGTGCATCCGGGTCTCCCTCAGGGGCAAGCAGTACAGACGCGAGATGAGGTGAAGCAGCCGCTAGACACTGTAACTCCTCCTGCCTGTCCTCTAGGACGTCCGTGCTAAGAGCACACTCACCCCCGACGGACGGAGGACAGACAGACGCAGACTCAGCAACAAGACTAGCAGCGTAGTCGAGACGACAGCGAGCAGCAAAGTCGACGAGCTCAGCGACTAGAGCAGACGCAGCAGTGGACTCAAAAGAGGGG